GCCCCCAGCCCCTCACTGGGAGATGCTAGGCCATTGTTCTGCTGTTGACCATTGGCCCAGACTGGCTAATGTAGTGGAAGTAGATGCATAAATTCAAGTGAGGGTAGATGATTGCTGGACTGGGGGCAAGGGTAACAGAGGAGAGTGAGAGGAGGCATAGTTCTAGGTCTGCTTCAGAAGCAAGCTAAATGCTTGATTTGGGTTTAGCTGAATATCGACTCCTGACAAGATGGGGAAGGTATGTGATCCAAGGACAGCGGGAATCTCTGTGAGAGAGATGGATGGAGGTGGAGAGATAGAAAAGAACTGAGCAGAGAGCTCTAGAGACTTGAGAAGCAGGGAAAGGCCTGCAGAGATACGGGCAGTGCTCTTAGCCAGCTGTTCTATCGTGGCACTGGGGCGGTGCTCTCCCTAGCGGGGTGCAGGTAGCCTCTCTGTCCCTGCATGGCTTACGCATGCTCTCTGCTCTGTTACAGCTATCCATCCATGAGACTGAGGACCCCAATGACAACCGGTACCTGCTAGTGATGAAGGGCGCCCCTGAACGCATTCTGGACCGCTGTGCCACCATCCTCCTGCAGGGCAAGGAGCAGCCTCTGGATGAGGAGATGAAGGAAGCCTTCCAGAATGCCTACCTCGAGCTTGGTGGCCTGGGCGAGCGTGTGCTGGGTGTGTATTATGGGTGGGGCAGGAACACATTGAGCTCTCAGGGCCTGTTGGGGTCAGAATACACCATGAATGAATGAATGAGTGAATGAACAGATGAATGAGGCCATTGCTGAGAAACAAATGCTGGTTGGCTGTGTGGGGAGGTGGCAGAGAATCCAGACCCTAGCGATCCATCCCGTTGCTGAGAGCCCTTCTGTGTCCCCACCACCAGGTTTCTGCCATTACTACCTGCCCGAGGAACAGTTCCCCAAGGGCTTTGCCTTTGACTGTGATGACGTAAACTTCACCACAGACAACCTCTGCTTCGTGGGTCTCATGTCCATGATTGACCCTCCCCGGGCAGCCGTCCCTGATGCTGTGGGCAAATGCCGCAGCGCAGGCATCAAGGTGGGTCCTGGGACAGCCCGGTGGGTGTGGCGTCGGGGGGGGGGTACGCAGGAGCCCGGGCCGTCCCTAAAACACAACGCTTACAGGTCATCATGGTCACCGGCGATCACCCCATCACTGCCAAGGCCATTGCCAAAGGCGTGGGCATCATCTCCGAGGGCAACGAGACCGTGGAGGACATCGCTGCCCGGCTCAACATCCCCGTCAGCCAGGTCAACCCCAGGTGAGCGCCACACCTCCTCCAGGTCCTGCAGTCCCGTCAAGGTGGTCACCACATAGAGTTTACTCCTCCAACTCCCCCTTTCCTCTCTGGGACCCTTCTGTCTGCTCAAAGCCTGGATCCATCATTCTCCCAGAGTAAGGGCGACAGCCACAGGGGTTTGGAGAGGTTGCGTTTCCCTCCTCGTTGCTCCTTACCGCTGTGCAACCATAAAAAAGTCAGTCACCCTTTCTGAGTCCTTCTTCTACAGGAACTGGGTGAAGTGATTCACACATTTAATCCCAACACTGGGGAAGCAGAGGTAGACAGATCTCTTTGAGTTTGAGGCTAGCCTGGTCTACATAAGTGAGTTCCAGGCTAGCCACAGTGACACAGTGAGACCCCTTTCTCTCTCTCTCTCTCTCTCTCTCTCTCTCTCTCTCTGTCTCTGTCTCTGTCTCTGTCTCTGTCTCTGTCTCTGTCTCTTTTGTTTTGTTTTTTTGTTTTTTCGAGACAGGGTTTCTCTGTGTAGCCCGGGCTGTCCTGGAACTCACTCTGTAGACCAGGCTGGCCTCGAACTCAGAAATCCACCTGCCTCTGCCTCCCAAGTGCCCCTTTCTCAACAAAACAAAAACAACACACACACAAAAAAAATCAAACCAAACCAAGCAAACGAAAGCATTCTACGCGGGTGAGGATGGAGTTCAGAGGAGGGAGAATGTGCCTGTGGGGAAGGAATGCAGGAGGCCCAGGGCCTCATCCTCAGTACCGCCCTACTCAATGCAAATACAAAGTAAAGTAAAACCAGGTATGGTGCTGCATGCCTGTGTGGCCTAGCGCTCAAAAGAGGAGACTGGAGGATCATTAATTTGAGGCCAGCCTGAGCTGCACAGCAAGATCGTGCTTCCAAACACTAAGGACTAGGAATGTAGTTCAGAGATAGTGTTTTTCTAGAGTCCCCCAGTGAGGAGCTGGGGGCGTGGCTCAGTGGTAGAGCCCCTGCCTAGAATCCCCCAGTGAGGGGCTGGGGGCGTGGCTCAGTGGTAGAGCCCCTGCCTAGAATCCCCCAGTGAGGGGCTGGGGGCGTGGCTCAGTGGTAGAGCCCCTGCCCAGAATCCCCCAGTGAGGAGCTGGGAGTGTCACTCAGAAGTGAATGTTTGCCTAATAATAAAAGGTCCTGGGTTCCATCCCCAGCACCACCCAAAATCATGTTGGGGGCGGGGGCAGGTTACAAATAATTATATTTATAAGTATTTCTTTTGAGTCAAGGTCTCACTGAGTAGCCCTGGCTGGCCTAGAACCTGTTATGTAGACCAGAATGGTCTTGAATTCAAACTTCTACTTGCCTCTACCTCCCAAGTGTTGGAATTAAAGGCATGCATCCCCCTGCCTAGTGCTCAAATTATAGATAATTATAAACACTTGCTCTCCAAGGATTAAAGGAAACCCCGTATTTCTTTCCTTTGCTCCCCTCTACCCCTGTATATATGTGTTTGGTTTTTTGGACTTCCAGGTTTTCCGTCCTTGTACCTGTCTGTCTCTCTTCCTATTGCTCTACGCACCCGTGTGCCTATTCTCGTCCTTCAGGCTCTCTCTAACCTTATCATGTCCCTCCCTCAGACCGTCTCCTCCATCTCCCTTGTCCATGGTCTGTCCTGTCTGTCTTTCTGCTTATCAAATGCCCCCGACTCCTCACTCTGGCCTTAGCCACTTTCTGCTCTTCTCAGGGATGCCAAAGCCTGTGTGATTCACGGCACCGACCTCAAGGACTTCACCTCCGAGCAGATTGACGAGATCCTACAGAACCACACTGAGATTGTCTTTGCCCGAACCTCCCCTCAGCAGAAACTCATCATTGTGGAGGGCTGTCAGAGACAGGTGAGCTCCTGCCTGGTCTAAGGGAGGAGAGGCCGGGACCCCTGGGACTGAGGGAGGTAGGACTGAGCCTGGATCTCTGGTCTGAAGGAGGAGGGACTGACAGAAGAGGGCTGGGTCTGAGGGAGGAGAGTCTGAGGGAGAAGGGTCCAAGGGAGGAAGGCTGGATCTAAGGGTGGAGGGTCTGAGGGAGGAGGGCTGGATCTGAGAGAGAGGGGTCTGAGAGAGGAGGACTGGGTCTGAAGAGTTGGTTCTCACCCTCACCCTTCCTCCTTCCAGGGAGCAATTGTGGCTGTGACTGGCGATGGTGTGAATGACTCCCCCGCTCTGAAGAAGGCTGATATCGGGGTGGCCATGGGCATTGCTGGCTCTGATGTCTCCAAGCAGGCTGCCGACATGATCCTGCTGGATGACAATTTTGCTTCCATCGTCACTGGTGTGGAAGAAGGTGAGTGGCTGCAGAGGTGGGGGTGGGGTGTAGAGACTAAGTCGCTGCTAGAAGCTTTAGGAAGGACAGAGGAGCACACCGAGGCTGCATGAGCGCCACAGGGCAGGATTGGCTTTGGCGTTCCTGCATCACCGTCGTGGGGTCTGGTGGACGGGGAAGTTTGGGAACACCTCAAAGTCCTGGAAGTGTAGTCACTGTGAAGCTAAGGGTGCTGGGAGGTTTGGAAGGTCCCCTCTCCTGACATGGACTGTGGTTCAGTCATCTTCCAGAGGTGACACTGAGACACTCACTTGAAAAGATTGGTGGGGTGGGGGAGGGTCACAAGCAGGTAAGTGTCAATTCCTATGAGGTGAGTATGGGACCCTGGTGTGGGGCTGAGGTGGTATGGCAGGGAAGTCCCACTGCAGAGCTGACTGACAACAGCCCCACCTCCTGGAGGGTCTAGAGAGGGCCTGAAGGAGGCTAGTTCATGTTTTATTTTACCTAATTATTGATAATTACATTGATAATTGCAGAAAATGTCTAAAACTGTTAGAGACAGGATGATCTCACTATGGAAGAGTAACTGTTTACGCTTGTATCAGTTTTTCTCCCTGGGTCTAGCACCCATCTGAAATGTCACTCCTTGCTGGGAATGACATTTGCCGGAAATGTGTGGTGGTTCATAATCCCAGGGCTCAGGAGACTAAGGCAGGTGAATTGCTGTGAGTTCTAGGCCAGCCTAGGCTATGAGTGAGACCCTGTTACACACACATACACACACACAGACACAGACACACACACACACACACACACAAGAAGGGAGGAGGGAGGAAGAGGTCAGTACTATAACAGATTAAAGCTGTAAGTCACAGGGGTCACCAAATCCTGCAGGTGCAGGATTTGAGTTTCATCCTTAGCACGGAAAGAAAAAGTAAAAAAAAAATCTCATGATAAGCAGGGCTATGGTATTGCATGCCTTTAATCCCAGCACTCAAGAGGCAGAGGCAGGTGGATCTCTGAGTTCAAGGCCAGCCTGGTCTCCAGTGAGTTCCAGGACAGCCAGAGATACATAGTGAGTTTCTGTCTTGGAGAGAATAAAAAGCACAGTCAACCAGATGTGGTAGTTCCACATTTTTAAACTCTGGAGGCAGAGGCAGGAGGATTTCTGTGAGTCTAAGGCCAGCCTAGTCTACATACAAAGTGAGTTCCAGATTAGCCAGGGCTATATGGTAGGTAAGACTCTGTCTCAACACAAACAAAATTCAGAGTGTAGTCAATAAAGCCAAGCCCACTGTGACAGGCTAGGTGCTGTGAGCCCTTGCCTCCAATATCCCAGAGAAAAGCGCAGCTACCTCTCCTGCTCCCGACATCTCTGCCTAACAGGACAAGGCAGGCACGCTTAGGTGGCCTCCGCCCTTGGCATCATGCAGGCTGATGAGTGCACTGTAGAGTGGTCCTTGCCCTCAAGGCTGTGAAACAAGTTATCTAAAACAGTCAACAAACAGTCAATAAATGACAAATTGGGGGAGGTGCTAGGAAATCCACAGAACCCAATTTAGTGACTCAAGCTTATAATCCAAGCTACTCTGGAGGCTGAGCAGGATTTACAAACCTGTGCAATTGACTGAAACTTACTATCTCCAAATAAGTTACAAAGACAGCTGGGGGTGTGGTTCAGCAGCAGGAAAGCACTGGGAGGGAGGAGTGTGAGGAAACGGAGGGGACTGGGTGGGGAGAGGGAGGGAGGGAGAGACAGAGAGATAAACCACAAGGGCAAGATGCTGGGGGTGGTGTTTGTGGGGGTTTTAACTTCCCCAAGGGAAAATTACAGATACGGAAATGGCATCTCTTGTCACTTGTCGTCCAGCTCCGAGAGAGCCAGTTTCTTCTCTCCACACGACCACACGTGGGTGTACGTTGAAACATCCCTAATTCTTTTTACTTAGGAACATTTTAGAATACGATGCACATAGCTTCGTGGGAGGAAAATGATTTTCTCATGAGGACACCATGAGGACAGAGGTCTTTGGTACGGTGGCCACTGTACCAAAACTTTTGTTTCGTTTTGTTTTGACAGGGTCTCAGTTTGAGCCCAGGCTGGCCTGCAATTCACTATGTAGCCCAGACTGGTCTTGAACTCACAGCAATCCTCCTGCTTCAGCCTTCTGAGTGCTGGAATTACAGGTGTGAGCCACAACAGCTGGCTGGATTTATTTTAACAGATACATAAAAACATAAATAGTGTATATATTAACCAGGCATGCTGGGATACATAGTAATCTGTGTACTTGGGAGGCTTAGACAAGAAAGATTTAGTTCCGGGACAGCTGGTACTAATCACTAGGTCCACCTCAAAAAAACAGGGGGTCTGGAGAGACGGCTCCACAGTTAAGAGTGAACAGTTAAGAGAACCCAAGTTTGGTTCCTAGCGTCCACACCGAGCAGTGAACTAATGTCTTTAATTCTAGTTCTGGGGCTTCAGTGCCCTCTTCTGGCCCCCATAGGTACTACACTCACTTGCAGAGCAACCCACCCACTCACCCCCATACAAATTCATATACACATAATTTTTAAAAAGCAGCTAGCCGCGCTGTGTAGTGACACATGCCCTTGATCCCAGCACCCAGGAGGCAGAAACAAGTGGATCTCTGAGTTCAAGACCAGCCTGGTCTACATATTGAGTTCCAGGACAGCCAGGGTACATAACATAGTAAGACCCTGTATTCAAACAAACAAAGCAAATGGAACTCCAGCTGCTTGGTGGCATATGCCTGTAATCCTAGCACTTAGGCGATAAAGGTGCGGAGATCAGAAGTTCGAGTCCAATCTGGACTACATGAGACTACAGAAATTTATAGCTCCTAATGGGTTGTCATGTGATATTTTGATATTATGTGTGGTGGTTACTGGTTAAATAGGCTTAAGCATATCTGTCTCCCCAGTTAGCATTTCTTTAATTAATTAATTAATTAATTGTATATGAGCACACTGTTGCTGTTTTTCAGACACACCTGAAGGGGGCACCGGCTCCAATTATAGATGGTTGTGAGCCACCATGTGGTTGCTGGGAATTGAACTCAGGACCTCTGGAAGAGCAGTCAGTGCTCTTAACCTCTGATCCATCTCTCTAGCCCTGAGTTAACATTTCTTATGGGAGAAAATATTCAGTGCCCTTCCTCTAGCTTTTGAGACATTTGCTATGTATGATCTATGGTCAATCAGTTATGTAGCAGCATACCAGAGTTTCCTACATCTGTGGGTTCTTTTTCTTCCTTATGGTGTTGGAGGTACAGCCCAGGTTCTTGTGCTTTTGAAGCACATGCTATGGCTGAGTTACATCATAGCCTCGTCCTCCACATCAGACCTTAGACCATCTATTATCTGTGCAGGTACCTGGAGAGGTCAGAGGAGTGCAGGATGCCCTAGAGCTGGAGTTAGGGGCAGTTGTAAGCCATCTTACATGGATGCTGGGAAGAAAGCTTGGGTCCTCAGCAAGAGCAGCATCCATCCTTAACCGTGGAGACCGCTCTTCAGCACCCCCCGTTTTAGAGGGTGGGGGATTTTTGAGACGAGAGCTCACTAGGTAGTCCAGGCTGGCCTTGAACTCATAGCATTCTCCCTGCCTCAGCCTCCTGAGTACAGGTATGTAACACCACACCTGAGTAAGACTAACTCTTAGATTCCATATGTGAAAGAGGTCATGTGGATCTTGGGCCCCTATGCCCAGTACAGACACCTTCAATAGCATCTATTTCGTTCTTTACATTCTTTTTTTGTTGTTGTTGTTTTGTTTTGTTTTTCTGAGACAGGGTTTCTCTGTGTAGTCCTGGCTGTCTTGGAACTCACTCTGTAGACCAGGCTGGCCTCGAACTCAGAAATCCGCCTGCCTCTGCCTCCCAAGTGCTCTGATTAAAGGCGTGTGCCACCTGCCTGGCCATTCTTTACATTCTTTAAAATTATTTTATTTGGGTTGTGTGAATGTTTTGCCCGCATGTTATGTCTGTGCACCACATGCATGCAGTGCTCCTAGAAGACAGAAGGGGGCAGTAGATCTTCTGGAACTGGGGTTACAGACAATTGTGAGCCACCATATGGGTGCTGGGGACAGAACCTGGGTCCTCTGGAAGAGCAGTCAGTGCTCTTAACTACTGAGCCATCTCTCCAGCCCCCATTATTAATTTTTTAAAAAAGAAATCCTGTATGCTGTTCTCCATGATAGTTGTACCAATTTACATTGTGGAAGGCAGCTATGCCCACCAGTGTACCACCAAGCCATCCCTAATGTGTGTCTTGACCTACAGTGTACATGGTTCCCTTTTCTCTGCCTCCCTTCCAGCACCTGTCTTGTCAGTTTGATTGTAGCTACCCTGTCTGGGGTAATGTAATGTTTCATTGCTGGTTAGTTTACTTTGTATCCCTAGCAGCTAGTGGTACCACCCTGATGTTGAGTATAATGTATACTCTGTTTTTTTTTTGTTTGTTTGTTTTTTGTTTTTTTTTATTTGGTTTTGGTTTCTCGAGACAGGGTTTCTCTGTGTAGCCCTGGCTGTCCTGAAACTCACTCTGTAGACCGGGCTGGCCTGGAACTTAGAAATCCACCTGCCTCTGCCTCTCAAGTGGATTAAAGATGTGTGCCACCACTACCACCCCCGGATTTTTGTTTGTTTGTAATATTCTTTCTTCTGTCTTTTGAGGCAGGTCTCACACTGTATAGCCTGGGATTCCTGGAGATCCAACTGCCTCTGTCTCCCAAGTGCCCTGATTAGAGGCGTGCACCACCATACCCAGCACTGATTTTTATTGTTGAAACAGGCTGCCTGTATAGTCCTGGCTGGCCTGGAACTTGCTATCTGGACCAGGCTGGTCTCAGAGTTGCTCTGATCTTACTGCCTTTGCCTCCTGAGTGCTAGAATCACAGGCATGTGCCGCTATGCCTGGCCTATTTGTATATTCTCTCCTGAGAAATGCCTATTTTAGTCTATTGCCTTTTTTTTTTTTTTTGAGATGGTATTTCATGTAGCCCAGGCTGCCTGCGACCTCACTATGTAGCTGAGGATGGCCTTGAACTCCTGACCCTCCTTCTCACATGCACCACTGCACCTGACATTTTTAAAGTGGGTTATATATAAAAAAAAATGAACTTGGGTTATTTTATTTTCTAATGATTTCCCTACAGCTTGACACACGGGGAAGACGCTGGGTCAGCTGCCGTGCTAATTCTTAGGTTTTGACTGGTATGCACCGTACTGACCGCATGTGTGTGATCAAGCGTGTTCATTGCAAGTTAACTTGATAGGTTTTTGAGTATAGGGAGATCCATACACTCCCCAGATTCTAGTCAATAGAAATAACATTGAGAGAGGGCTTGCCTGGCATATATAAGGTCTTGAGTTGGATTCACAACACTGTAGAAATAAGAAACAGACAGACAGACAGACAGACAGACAGATGGACGGACGGACAGAGACAGACACCCCGCTCCATTAAAATCCCTTCCTGGCCTGACCACCTGCACAGTTATCACTGTCTTGCTTGTTGTCTTCTATTTTAAGTGGGATAATTTTTTTGGTTTTTTTATTGTTTTAATATTAATTTGAGGCAGGTTTTATTATGTAGCCCTGACATTAAAGGCCTGTGGCACCAGGTTCAGTATCCACCTTTTGTTTGTTTGTTCGGTGGTGCTAGGGGTTGAACCCAGGGTCTCGCTCTCATGCTCGGCAAACACTCTACCAAGTGAGTGACGGCCCCAGCCCTGTGTCTGACCTTATCACTCAGTGTGTTCCCTCAGATTCACCTGTGGGTTCATGTGTTCGTGGCTCCTCTCTTTTCCTTCCTGTAAGGCTCCACAGTTTAGCGTCTGCTCACCTGGCTTGAACTTTCAAGTTGGCTCTGGTTTGAGGCTATTATGAATACTGCTATGGTAAACCTTTGTGAATATAAGCAATCGTTTCTCTTGGGTATGAACCTGGAAGTAGAGTTTTGGGGTTAAGGATGTTTAACCTTGAGAGAAGCTACCAAACAGACTCCCCTCAGGTGCCCCTGAGGTCAGGGGTGTAGACGCAAATGTGAGTGGCTGAGGGTGAGTCAGAGAGCATACAAAGGTCCGGATGTGGGTTCTCATTGATAGAACCCCTATTGTGAACACCTCAGTGAGGGTTTGGGGGCGTGGCTCAGTGGTAGAGCCCCTGCCTAGAATCCCCCAGTGAGGGGCTGGGGGCGTGGCTCAGTGGTAGAGCCCCTGCCTAGAATCCTCCAGTGAGGGGCTGGGGGCGTGGCTCAGTGGTAGAGCCCCTGCCTAGAATCCCCCAGTGAGGGGCTGGGGGCGTGGCTCAGTGGTAGAGCCCCTGCCTGGAATCCCCCAGTGAGGGGCTGGGGGCGTGGCTCAGTGGTAGAACCCCTGCCTAGAATCCCCCAGTGAGGGGCTGGGGGCGTGGCTCAGTGGTAGAGCCCCTGCCTAGAATCCCCCAGTGAGGGGCTGGGGGCGTGGCTCAGTGGTAGAGCCCCTCCCTAGAATCCCCCAGTGAGGGGCTGGGGGTGTGGCTCAGTGGTAGAGCCCCTGCCTAGAGTCCCCAGTGAGGGGCTGGGGGCGTGGCTCAGTGGTAGAGCTTTGTCTGTCATGCAGGAAGCCTAGGTTCAATCTCTAGTATCTATATACAAAAAAAGCTAATCCCAGCACTTGGGAGGCAGAGCCAGGAGGATTTCTGAGTTCGAGCCCAGCCTGGTCTACAGAGTGAGTTCCACGACAGCCAGGGCTACACAGAGAAACCCTGTCTCAAAAAAACCAAAAAAAAAAAAAAATGGGGCTCCAGTAGATCCCAAGTTCTAAGCCTGCTCTCCCTCCCTACAGGCCGCCTGATCTTTGACAACCTGAAGAAATCCATTGCCTACACTCTGACCAGCAACATCCCTGAGATCACACCCTTCCTGCTCTTCATCATGGCCAACATCCCACTGCCCCTTGGCACCATCACCATCCTCTGCATCGACCTGGGTACCGACATGGTAAGCCTGGCTGCCACTTAGGACTGTGGAGGACCACCTTCACACACTTGCGCTGTCTCCCTCTCCACTCACGCGGCCCGCCTCTCTCCCATCCAGGTCCCTGCAATCTCCTTGGCCTATGAGGCTGCCGAGAGTGACATCATGAAGAGACAGCCCAGGAACCCACGCACAGACAAACTGGTCAACGAAAGGCTCATCAGCATGGCCTATGGGCAGATTGGTGAGGACCACCAGGGCTCAGAACCAAGGGCCAGTCCAGCAGAGTGGAAGTGTACCTGGTCTGAGGGCTCAAAGGATGAGACAAGAAACCTATGTCCCCTTCCTTTATCTCTAGGCGGGGCATATAGGCAGAGCCCTAGAAAGTCTGTCTAAGAAAGCAAAGCCCATGAGGCAGAAGGAGTCTAGACTCCTCTTGGGCACCTTGCTGTTAAGTGTCTCAAACAACCAGTTCATTGGCTTCCAACTCACTATGTGGGTAGAATAGCCCTGAACTTCTGATCCTCCTGCCTCTACTTCCCAAGTGCTGGTATTACAGGCATATGCTACCATACCTAATGTATTACTAACTGTGGATTAAGCCTGGGATTTCATTCCATGTTAGGCAAGCACTCAGCCACGGTACATCCCCAGATCTCTTACCTTTTGTTTTGAGATGGGGGTCTCACTAAATTAGCCAGACTGGCCTCGAATTCATTTTGTAACCCAGCCAGGCCCTGAGCTTTCCGTCCTCATGTTCCCGTCTTCCGAATAGCTGGGATCACCAGTCTGTGGTATTAAGCCTGGCTCCTCCTGGGATATTTACAGTGTTTGGAAAGCCTGAGTCAGGTAGCATTGGGCCTGAGGGTCATCCATATGGATAGCCCCCTCCCCAAGGGGACAGGACCCTGCCACCGGGGGCTGGAGATGACGTGGCTTAGGCAAGATAACCCAGCAGTTCACAGGCTACTATGATGGTCTCAACTGGTGTTGGGGGAGCACGGAGCATGCTCCTCCCTCACCCTCCCCTCGGCTCTCTTCCCCCCAGGGATGATCCAGGCCCTCGGTGGTTTCTTCTCCTACTTTGTCATCCTGGCAGAAAATGGCTTCTTGCCCAGTAACCTGGTGGGCATCCGGCTCAACTGGGATGACCGCACTGTCAACGACCTGGAAGACAGTTATGGGCAGCAGTGGGTGAGTGGGCGGGGCACTGAGCCTGAGGGGCGGGGCACTGAGCCTGAGGGGCGGGGCACTGAGCCTGAGGAGCAGACTGGCATCTACCCCCCACCCCCGTCCCATGTTAACTGCTCTCCCTGGATAAGGGATCTCCAGAACGCAACTCCTTACGTAGCGCAAGCCTTCTTTCATAAGCCTGTCTACCCCTTCAAAGCCTGGCTGCTCTCTATCCTCCTTGGAGACCCACAGGGAAATACATGATTAAGGCTATCTAATTATTTGTTCTTCTTGAAACACCCGCCTCTTTCATTGGTCCCAAGAGGCTACAAATCCAAGAAAGAGGGCACATCTGAGGTCCTGGGAACCCAGCACAGGGGGCGGGGCAGAGAAGGAGCTGGGGGTGTGGTCACAGGATGCAACTCCTCCCTCATATCTTTTTTTCTTTTTTTTTTTTTTGCAGACTTACGAGCAGAGGAAGGTGGTGGAGTTCACGTGCCACACGGCCTTCTTCGTGAGCATCGTGGTGGTCCAGTGGGCTGATCTAATCATCTGCAAGACCAGGAGGAACTCCGTCTTCCAGCAGGGCATGAAGTGAGGGCCTCCGGCTGCACTCCTTCTTTGGTCTGGGGGGATGCCTGAATCTCTCCTCTCCCTCACTGCACTTTCTGTTCTGCCTCTGCATTGATTTCCTCTTGAGAGTCCTGTGTTTTAGATTCTAAGCCTGACTCTCCATCTGGGTGAACTTGGGGTGCCCTGGGTCCCCAGATTTCCCTTTTGCCATTGCTTCCATGAACCTGTCCCTGCTTCTCTTTCTCTCCCCCCTCTCTTCCTTTCTGCCTCCTTCCTCCTTCTCTTTCCTTTTCTTTCTCCCTCACCCTTTTATTTACTCTCCTTGAGACAGCCTCTGGGTATTCGGCCCAAGTCAACCTCAACCTCATGGCAATCTTCCTGCCTCAGCCTCCCAAGTACCACCATGCCTGGCTGTCTCTCTCTGTCAGCACTCCTTACCCCTCATTTTCTCTGCGTCTCTCAGCTCTCCCCACCCCCGTCTGCTTCTCCTAGATCCCACTGCCTCTGTTCCTTTCCCCTGTGTGTGCGTCATCGTCGCCTGGTGACTCAGTGTCTTGGTCCATCTGCGTCCGTTCCTGTCTGGGTGTCTATCTGCCTCTGTCTCTGTGGGTTGGGGGAGCCTGGTGTGGGGGTGCTCCAGGTTTAGCCTCTCCTCGCCTGTGCCTCCAGGAATAAGATCTTGATCTTCGGCTTGTTTGAGGAGACGGCCCTCGCTGCCTTCCTGTCCTACTGCCCAGGCATGGATGTGGCCCTTCGCATGTACCCTCTCAAGTGAGTGCCCAGCTCACCCAGGATCTCCATACTCCCATACCCTCGGCAGCCTCAGCCTCAGCCTTAAATCTGTAGCCCACTCACCCTGGTGTTTCTCTAGATGTCCCGTCCCCTGTCCCCTGTTGCCACGCCTGGGCTGATGCCACCAAGTTTCCTCGCCATCCTCACAAAGGGACACTGCAGACTCCAGTCCTATTCAGGATCCAGGGCATCAAAGATCCTGAGAAACTGGCCATCTGGTCTACCCTGTCCCCCCCTACACACACACACACACATGCACACACACGTGCACACACACGCACACACACGCACACACACGTGCACACACACGTGCGCACACACACGCACACACACATGCACACAGCCGGTATTTGTCCCTCATGTCCCCTCTTCTCTTTCATCCCTGCAGGCCCAGCTGGTGGTTCTGTGCCTTCCCCTACAGTTTCCTCATCTTCGTCTATGATGAGATTCGAAAACTCATCCTGCGCAGGAACCCCGGGGGTGAGGGCTGCATGGCCAGCGGTGGGGGTGGGGAGGGTGTAAAAGACTGGGAGAAGAGGGGGGCAGGGAGTGTTGGCTCCTTCTCCCTACGTCCTTTCTCCTTCTCTTTCCTCTCTCCCCCCCACCCCCCGCCACCCTTGCCTTTCACTCTCTTTCCAAGTGTGACTTGTGCCTCTGAGAATAGGTTCTCCTGAGGCAGCTCAGGCTGCCCTTGAACTCATGTCCCTCTTTCCCTGAGTTCTCAGTGCTGGGATGACAGGCCTGCCACCACACCTTGTGTTTGCATCAATCTTTCTTTCTATGTCCCTGCCCGTGGCTCGTATGGCTCTCGTGTCTGCCTTCCTCTCACTTTGACTCTCTTCTGTCATTCCAGGTTGGGTGGAGAAAGAGACCTACTATTGACCTCAGCCACCACATCGCCCGTGTCTTCCCTGCCCCCAGCCCAGAACAACCCTCTCCGGTCCCCCCATTTTGTACTCTGGGGGGAGGGGCCTTCTCTCCCCATGGCCCGCCTCTCTCCTCGTGGCCCAGCCTCCTCTCCCACACCTCCGTTACCTTCCACTTTCCCTCACTTCTTCCTCTGGCTGGCTTCTCTCCCCCCACAGCCCCTGCCTCTCTTCTCCCTCCCTTTTCTGGGTCTCTCCCCCTCTCTCCCTTGCAACTCTGCCCCTCATTTCCTCCCTGGGATCTTTTTTACTCCCCTGGGCCCCGTCTCCTGGCTGATGCCATCTCCGGTTCTAATTCTGAACAATTATCAAATATATCAGTGGGGAGAGAAAAGACGTGTGTGTGTTGTGCTTGCCAGTGGAGCTGTGGGTGGATGGGATGCCCTCTGCCAGTGCCCAGTGCCAGGTGACTCATATGAGCCCAGTTTAGCTAGTTACAGTGCCAGAAGCTTTTGGGTGGTAGAGAGTCATGCATTTTGGATTCTAAGGAGTTAGAATTCTCAACCCAGTTGGATTATGGACAGGGAAAGAGGAGGCAGGAACTGGATGGTAGAAAGGTCCTGTCTCCTGTGGAAAGGGGCCCTAAGGGAGGCCACAGCCTGATGGTGGTGTTGAGAACTGAAACTCTCCTAAGCACAGTCCTAACGTTCATTAGTGTGAGAGACAGGGAGGGAATAACTCACTGATGGCCACAGAGCTATGGAAAGGTGACAAATCCAGGCTCTGCACTGAGGCCATCTCAACTCTGGTCTCAGCTCTGAGTCACCGTGCTCATCTCTGTCACTGAGGTCAGCCTCATGTCTTTACACCATCAAGTGTGCGAGAAGAACAAGAAACTTTGGGGACAGAGGATCCGCTCAGTGCTCTTGCCCAGGACCCAGGTTTAATTCCCAGCACCCATGTGATCACTTACAATAATGACCTGCAGGTCCGGTCCCAGGGAATCTGATGCCCTTTTCTGGCCTTTACAGGCAGCAGGCATGCAAGCAGTGCACAGAAAAACATGCAAACAAAATACACATACACATAAACTAAGCTTAAGCCAGGCATGGTTAAAGGCCGACTCCTTCAATTCTAGCAGGCAGGCGAATCTATGAGTTTGCAGCACCCTGGTATTCATAACAGTATTAGGCCAGCTCTAAGGTCTCATAGTGAGGCTATGTCTTAAAAAATTTTTTTAATTTAAAATTTAAGAGAAAAAACATTTTTTTGGGGGGGGGGTTCGAGACAAGGTTTCTCTGTGCAGCCCTGGCTGTCCTGGAACTCACTCTGTAGACCAGGCTGGCCTCGAACTCAGCAATCCTCCTGCCTCTGCCTCCCAAGTGCTGGGATTAAAGGCATGTGCCAGCACTGCCCAGTGAGAAAAAAATTTTAAGTATGTGTTCCAGTGTGCATCTGTAATACCCAAACTGGAGAGGTGGAGCAGGTGACTGCCAATACTGTGAGCCACACCCCTACCTCTTCTTGATGGATTCTAGGCAGAAGTGCTACCACTGAGCCACGCCCCCAGTCCCTCACTGGGGGATTCCAGGCAGGGGCTCTACCACTGAGCCACGCCCCCAGCCCCTCACTGGGGGATTCCAGGCAGGGGCTCTACCACTGAGCCACGCCCCCAGCCCCTCACTGGGGGATTCTAGGGAGGGGCTCTACCACTGAGCCACGCCCCCAGCCCCTCACTGGGGGATTCTAGGCAGGGGCTCTACCACTGAGCCACGGCCCCAGCCCCTCACTGGGGTATCCATTATCTCTGCTCTGTCCATGCTGTGACTCTAACCCCGTTTTTTGGTTTTTTTGTTTTTTTTTTTTTAACTGGGTCCTGTGTTGATCCACATTTGAATTGTGTCCATGTTAGGGCTGCTGGTAATAGGAAGAAATAGCCAGTCATCTTTTTATGATTTATTCTCTTTTGTTTGTTTATTTGTTTGATGTTTGTTTGAGGCAGGGTGCCCGTATATAAACTCTTACTGGCCTCCAGTTTATGGCAATCCTTCTATCTCAGCTTCCTAAGCATAAGATACCATACCTGCTTTTGGGTTGTTTTGGAGTGGGGACCAGGGGTTTGTTGTTTTGGGGTGTTGTTTTGTTTGCTTGTTGGATTTTTGAAACAAGGTTTTTCAGTGTAACACTGGCTGTCCTTAAATTTACAGAGATCTGACTGCCTCTGCCTCCCAAGCTGGGATCAAAGGAGTGTGCCACCACCACCTGGCACTTGGTGTTTTTTGTTTTGTTTTGTTTTGTTTTGTTTTGTTTTGTTTTGTTTTTAAAGATAGATTTTTCTCTGTGTAGCCCTGGCTGTCTTGGAACTCACTGTGTAGATCAGGCTGGCTTTGAACTCAAAGATCTGTCTGCCTCTGCCTCCAGAGTGCTGGGATTAAAGGACTGCACCACCTTCACCACGGCATGGTTTTTTAGAGTTTTAATTTTTTTTTAATTTAATTTTTTAAATAGGGCCTTGCAATGTAGACCTGGCTGGCCTCATATTTACAGTGATCCTCATACCTCTGCCTCCCAAGTGTTAGGTTCACAGGCATATACCACCACTCATACTTCTTAGGCTGTTTAATTATAATAGAAACCCAGAACCTTTTTCCAAAGCATGCATTGGGTATTTTGTACCCTCCCCAACAGCGGAGGAAAAGTCCTATCTATTCCACTTCACCGCCACTAGGTGGCAGCAGCAATCCTTTTAATTTTAGCCAATCCGATTGGAGAAGTTAAACTTCTTCCCTGGAGTTGAGCCGCCCAGCATGCCCTTTGAAGGAGGGCACCAGGCCTGTCAGCCTGGGATGCTGTGGGCACCTATGAGTGAGTGAGTGTGTCACATGCCAACACACCAGAGCTAAACTGATTGTCTTAGTTAGGGTTTCCACGGCTGTGAAGAGAGAGACACCGTGACCGAGGCAACTCTTATAAAGAACAACATTTAACTGGGGCTGGCTTACAGGTTCAGAGGTCCATTATCATAGCAGGGAGCATGGTAGCATCCAGGCAGACACGGTGCTAGAGAAGGAGCTGAGAATTGTGTCTGCATCTTGATCTGACTGCATCTAGGAGAGATTATCTCCCAGGCAGCTAAGAGGTGAATCTCATTGCCCACCCCTGCAGTGGCATGCTTCCTCCAACAAGGCCGCACCCACTCCAACAAAGCCACACCTCCTAGTGGTGCCAAGCGTATCCAAGCTACCACACTGATGCTATGTGTGGTGCATATGCCTTTATTCCCAGTTTTCCAGAGGTGGTAGGCGAAGGATCTGAGTTTGAGGCCAGCTTGGGGCTACATAGTAAGACCCTACCAAAAGCAAAACAAAAATGGCCGGTGTGGTGGCTCATCAGGTTACAGTACTGGCCACCAACCAAGCCTGGCAATCCAAGTCTGACCCTAGAATACACAGTGGAAGGAGAGAACCAGCTCCCGGAGGCTGTCCCCTGACCCCTCCACACACCCTGCACCTGCACGTGTGCACTTTCTCTCTCTCTCTCTCTCTCTCTCTCTCTCTCTCTCTCTCTCAACAATGATAATAGTATAAAGCTTTTAAAGTAATCACTTGCCTGGGGTGTGGCTCTGGTATAGACTATTTGCCTACTGAAGCTCTGGGTTTCATCTGAGCCCTGCATAAATAAGGTGACACAGATGTCTGTGATCCTTTCATTGTTGTTTGTTTGTTTTTAAGACAGGGTTTCACTGTGTAACCCTAGCTGTCCTAAAACTCACTTTGTAGTCCAGGCTGGCCTTGAACTCACCGAGATCCACCTGCTTCTGACCCCTGAGTACTAGGAGTAAAGGCATGACCCTGGCCACATCTGAGATCCTACAGAATTCTTGAACTGGAAACAAAAATCAGAAGTTCAAGGTCATACTATCTTTGACTGTATAGTCATGGTAAAGAAAGAAAAATAATAATAAAACTGGCCGTTATACACCTGTAATCCCAGCACTTGGGAGGCAGAGCAGGGAGGATCAGGAGTTCAAGGTTATAGTCGGAGCTCTTTGTCCTGTGACCTCTGGTGGTCTCAGGACAAAATGATCCTGGAAGGGCTTGCATGAGCCAAGACCTCTCCTGGGACACCCACAAGTCCTGCTTCAACCATCTAGCCAGGAAGGAGCTTTGATAAAGGGGCTCGGCACAGGACAGAAGTGGAGGAGGCTCCTTGGAGTCATGCAGTGGGCATTGTGAACAAGGTCTCGCGTTCCTGTTAATATCTTCCTGGTTTCCCAGTGCCTCTTGCTCTGAGCCAAGCCCCATTTCCCACAACCTTCTCGGGTGTTCATCCTCTCCTACTACCTACTGATTCAAAACCCGCCTACCATGAGCCTCCTCTCTCAGGAACCCCC